TGTGTTCCAAAGTTAGGGTGCAATGTGGGGATAGGCTGCAGTAGCAACGGTGCAGTGTGGGGATAGGTTATAGTAGAAATGGTGCAGTGTGGGAATAGGCTGAAGTAGCCACTGTGCCGTGTGGGAATAGGCTTAGATAGCCATGGTGCAGTGTGAGGATATGCCATAGTAGCCACGGTGCAGTGTGGGAATATGCTGCAGTAGCCACGGTGCAGTGTGGGGATAGGCTGCAGTAGCAACGGTACAGTGTGGGGATAGGCTGCAGTAGCCATGGTGCAGTTTGGGGATAGGCTGAGGTAGCCATGGGGCAGTGTGGGGATAGGCTGTAGTAGCCACGGTGCAGTGTGGGGATAGGCTGAGGCAGCCATGGGGCAGTGTGGGGATAGGCTGCAGTAGCCATGGGGCAGTGTGGGGATAGGCTGTAGTAGCCACGGTACAGTGGGGAGACTTTAAAGTGCACTTTAAAAACTGTACTTTTCATGCTCCTAATGATTTGTTAATCGAGTGTGGGTTGATCCAGCTGCTATGATCAATCCCCACAGGCCCGTAAGGGTCACGCTCACCTTGCTTCATGACCATCATGCGAAGAACAATGAGCTGATGCATGGAAATAGTCTTTGCTATAGAGTCCGTTTCTAAGGAAGTGGCTGCTTGTATAGACTTTTTGTTTGGTCAGGCAATAAATCAGCTACATAACTGGTAAAATAATCACTCATGTTGGCTCAGTGGGGCTGGAGGAGAATCACGCTTTTCCACAGTTCCATGATCCAATCGTTTGTATCATCAAAGTTATAGGATCCCAGATGGGTCATCAAATTCTAGCTTATCTCTGCCTAACGGCAGCTATACATGTTACGGAGATATCATTTAACGTTTGGTCGTCACACTCTGCTGGACTCTCACATCTGTACTTCGTCTGCACATCAGACGCCATAATAGTTCATGCCAGCTGCACAAATGTCACATTCAGCATACCATAAAGACGATACCAGGATCTCTCTCGGCCCATAGAACAGCTATTTTCATTCCCTTTTTATTCCATGACAACAATTCTCTAGTCAGGGCAGAACGATTTCAGATAACACATGCTTCGAGTGCTTATCATTTTTGAAAACTCAGGGGAGATACAGTGTCTTTTACAAAGACATTCCTTGGTTTCCATTTGGACTTGGCTGCCTCTCCACATGTTGTTAAAAAAAAAGAAAGAAAAATAAGAATCGGGACTTAGTTAAACAAAGAGAATTATGGAAAGCCACTGTCCTTCATTTCTCTGTGGCAGTCTACTTTATAAACGTAGCGCTCCCACAAAACATGACGTGCCGGCCTGAGACAAAGCACAAACTTCACTGTTAATGGCAATATTGGAACGTAACGCCGGCCATGTTAAATCATTTAACAGCTGCTACCTTGCACTCTACTTCCTCCTCAGGACTCCCCCCCCTCCTAATCATTTCATCATCCCAAACAACAACAAAAACAATAACAAAATAACTGCAAGCAACAAAAAAACTGCAAACCCAAGAAAAATCGAGTTGACGCGACAAAAATCAAAATCGGAGCATGTGACCATTTGAATCTGTCACACAATTTAGCCTTGAAAAATAAATTCAAGAGCGGCTCCATGATCTGGGCACTTGCCCTGAGACATACTTGTACAATAGAGCCTTGATACAATCAGAGTCTGTTGCCAACGTAAACCAGCGGCAAACAAAGTCACCGCGAGGATCTAAATCAGGCAAAGCAAAACAAAATCATGACAACAATAAAGCAGAACACGCTATCGCCAACGGCTGCCCGGAGCCGTAGGGGTTTACAATCAGCTGAAGGAAGTGTTTTGTATGCTGTTCCCGGCTTAGCTAGTGCAGCAACAGCGGCAGATAAGGACTGGGGAAGGCTGCAGTAGCCAGTCCCCCTAATGTTACAGCCCTAACCCCTGCAGATGCAACCAACCTCTTACCAATATATCAAATGCTCCACCTGCTTTTCTCCAGATGCGTGGGGGCTGCTGGATTAAATTGCTGGAACGGTACACCCTTTTTTTTTTTTTAAAAGGTTTCTGCACTTCATGGAAAATAAACATCTCTCCTTCTCAGACTCTCATCAACATTAGCAAACGCCCACAAGGAGGTGTGTTTAAAGAAAATGATTCAGGATCGTCACTCTTCATTTTGGTGCCTCCGGACACCTGAACATTTCTGCTCAGCATGCTTACACAGCTAATAAAAAGTGCCTGGTAGAAGAATGAGCTTCTCTTCTTCACGTCCTTCATAGTTTTGCAGTACGTTTGTTTCACGTATGCAATGTGATTTTTTCCTGAGTGATTGCCGTATCAGACGGCTTAGTAGGTAGCACTGTGACCTCACGCCTCCAGAGTTGTGGGTTCCTTCTCTCCCTGGGCTCTGCATGTGTGGAGTCTGCAAGTTCTCTTTATATTTGCATGGGTTTCTTCCAGCTACTCTAGTTCCTCCCTGCAGTCTATATGTAGGGTGACTCTTAATTGTCCTTAGAGGGAGACCAGAGTTGAGCACAGTGATGGGCCAGCATCCCATCCAGGGTATCCCCAGACCACTGCATCCTGGGATACGCTCTAACCTAAACACAACCCTCTACTGGACAAGCAGTTAAAGAAGATGGATGAAACTCATCTTAAGTATTTTTCTGTACAGTACTGTTGGAGGACCACTCCTGGGACTAGAACCAGCAACCTTCAGTTCATAAATCCATGTCCAAATTGCTACCTACTATGGAAACTGAAATTAAACACGGCCTTGCTGAAAGTCCCAACTACAGCCCAGGGATTTGAACTGGTGACCTTCCGATCAGGGGCATCGACTCCTAACTGCTGAGCCACATCCTGCTTTTCTCTGCCTGCTTTTAGGGTAAGGAGCACTTTGAACAATTTGTTGTTGTTAGATATTAGGGAACCTCAATGAATGTCTATACAGGGTAAAGGAACCATAACTGTGGGATTGGAACAGAGAGCGGCAACGGTCCCAATTCCAAAGCAAACAGCAAACACATTTTCTGTCCCCAGCTTCTTCTTGTCACAGTGTCACTCGCAGAAGCTGGACGAAAGCTGAGAAGTGAGCGAGGCCTGACTGGGCGGCTGCAGACAGGCAGTAGGGTTTCAGAGGCAAGGGGTTGACCAGTTTGCCAATGGCAGGTCACTCTTCTGTCCCATTGGACTCGAGAGTCTACATCCATAAATGCGACAAGCACAATTTCACCTCAAAAGAAAAGATTCCTGATAAACCACAATCATTCCAGGACAAATTTATCTTTCAATTTTGTTCCTTTAACGATTTTATTTTTCAACAGAAAGATTGAATTTTGAGAGGAAATGTTTTGGAAAAAAAAAACATTCGGAAGGTTTTTATTTTTTTAAATGCTATTTCTCCTGGTAGGAATTTCTGGAATATGAGTGATGATGCTACATTTCTCCGGTTTTACAAACAGCTCGGAAATGGAATGTACACGAGGTGGGGAGACGCCAAACATTGCTAAATATAAACGTTCCATTGAGAAGGACTGATGTGGGGTAAGAAGGAGCCAGGGATGGTGTGTCAGAAAGCCAGAAGACGGCAATGAGCACCCAGCAGGGTAGGGGGCTTTAAGCATGTCAGACACGTCGCCTGCTGTAATATTTACAGCAGACAATAGTAACTATCTGACTACATCCTTCTGGTATTCATCAACAGCCATCTGATGCAGAGCAGCTACGGAAAATCTTGGGGTTTTTGCTTTTAATGTCATCTTTACTTGCCGCAGAAAATAATAACCGTACTCAGGTTCCCATATTTGAAATTTCCCCAAAAAAAAAATACCCAGATAAAGTAAGTGCGTGTGTGTGTGTGTGGGGGGGGTCATTATGAACAAAACAAAATGCATGATCTTATAAATCAAGTTAGAAGCCTTGTTGTGTCAGAATGTCTAAATATGCCAGACAGAGGAGCCATAAGGACAAAATATTTGGGCTCGTCGGGGAAAAGAACGCACGAGATAACCTTAAAGTCCGGAAATTGACTAATTTTGGATTTACATCAAACCAAGTAATGACTATCTTCTTAAGGCACTCAAATCAGAGAAAGACAGTGTGCAGTACTCCTCCAGTGTGATTAGGAGGATGGCATCTCCCCCAAGAGGACCAAGAACTAGCCTCCCCACGGAGATGTTGCCCCGGGAAACCAGCCGGGAAAACAAAACAGCATCGCCATTACCAGTAATCAGCCGATTTAAGCAAAAGCTATTTCAGGCCCGTTTATTAACGGTACAACTCACCTGCAGAGACCAATCAGGACGAGCAACAAGTAAAAAAAGGGAAACAGTCACAACTCAGGGGCTCAGGGTTTAAGGAGATGCGTGAGTGTTTGGTTTGCTGACAGTGACACCTTAAGGATAGAGGGGCGTGTGAATTTTCTCCGGGAGTTAATGAAGAACAGGCCTGTAAGCACTGCACTGGTTTGTGGGCTCTGTTTATAATAAACGCACAATCTCTCAGGACCATGTACAACTTAATTACACTGACGTCAACAGAACCCGGTTGGCATGGGAACCCTCAGTAGGGCATGACTTCCGGTTCATACAGGCTAATCAGCCCCGGGGGTGCGTACTGTACTGCAGCAAGGTGACAGGTATTTGTATAGGTGACAGACAGGCCACAGTGATGCTAATTTAGAGGAAGCAATTTTTTGAATTTTACACTTCTTATACTAAGACACTTGTGAATATTTTGAGTTTGTTATGGATAGAAACATTTTTGGAAAAATGAAATCAAAGCATCTATGTGAGCTATTTTACTGTAAAAAAGTACATTTTGTGTGTATTTAGAGATCTTAACATCTTGTTAGGGACATTTTTTGAGAAAAAAAACAAAACATTTTAACAAATCCAGAATTTTTTTCTGAAAGAAAGTTTAAATTAGTTTGATTTTTGTTTGGGGTAGAATTTGGAATCCTTAAATGCAAACATGATTATCCAGAACAGCTGATGATTATACTTACGCCTCGCAATGTCCAGCCATTTGTCGATGGAAAGAGTGAGAATGGACTCTTTTTTTGGAGCGTCGACCTAACAAAAAAGAGAAAAAGACAAAAAAAACACTGATCTTTTGCCAAGTGTGTGATAACACATGATGACGGTACATCACCATGTTCACTCCTGCTTTTTCAGCTCAGTGCCCCTTCAATACCCCCAAAAGCATGGAAATTTCCTTTGTGAACAAGATCATTCACGGTAAGACATTACGCACACAAAATCATGACCCGTGTTATTTAACGCATCACCAGGGATCAGCCTGGGGAAAATATCACTGTGGAATGACAGGAACAAGAGAGTCATTCTGTGTTAGGAGAAGCTGCATCAGTAAGGCTTTCTGGATCGAAGGGGAGGAACTGCAACCCATCCATCTCCCATTTGCTGGGGTCTCTGGATAAGTGATGATGTCACAGCAGGCAGAAGAAATTCAGTAAGAATTAGTAACAACCATGACAATGTCTGGCCTTTTCTGATGGGAGATTATAGTTTATGTACTTGGCCTTTGAACACCCTACATCTTTCACATACCAACATACCAAAATACATGCCTCTCATAGCCTTCTTATTGAAGTCCTTGAATACAGCAATCAAATACATAAACCAATCAAGTCAAAGACATGGATCTTGCCTCTCTATGTGTGGCTGCTAACTGACGATCTACAGTAATCCACACACCCAACCACCAGCCAACCATGTTATCTTTGAATTTTTCTCTGGTGTGTCACCTTAGTCACTCTCACGTGGAACGAGTTGGGATGGTCTATTTTTAAATGCTGAAATTACTGAGCAAATCACCAGTCTGTACATTCCACTGCCTTGAGTACACCGTCATGTAATGGCATTTGAAAACACTTCACTGTACAGGGCCTCTAATGCGACAAAAAGTCTGAATTGGGCACTAATGGACTGTCATTAACCCTCACCTCCGTTTCAGTCTGAATATTTCATATTTTGTACATTGTGTTAAATGTTACAAACACTTAGAACACTTGCCTTGTGTTTCGTTTGCATTGCACTAGGAGCTGCTTGTACAATGACAATAATCAACTGACTCTTGACCCTTGAATGCTGTAAGCATGCTCGACATTTAAAGCCAACTGGAGACATTAGCTGTAGCTTTTTCTCCAAACAAAGCCCATTTTACCTGACCATCACTCCAAACCTCTTGAATCAATCTGCTACAGCTGTTATAAAGTAGTCAGTCTTATCTGAGATCTTAATAGGTTGTCTGTGGTGTTCGCAAGGAGTTTGTAAACCCTCTGTGTTTACAAAAAACTAAATTCTTGTCTCACTCTGCTCTATGTCTTCATAAAGACCTCGAGGTGAACACCTTGCAAGGTCATGTAAATACTGGTTATTTAATCTTGAGGATGGTGATCTTTCCCATTTACTGTATCAGATTTTGGGAATCACAAGGAATTCAGAAACAAGGGGAAACTGATGCTGGTATAACCCACTTCTAAACTGATAATTTTTTTGGTTTAGAGCAGGCAGTGATTGACAACGTATGTTAGTCACTTCTCATTAGGTCGGACATAAGTCAGACCAGTCGAGTTCTTTAGAGTCCAGATTGAACTCAGATTAGGGTCTGGGTATCCCACCCAGTGACTGGCATGCCAAGTGGGCGCTGGTGTTTAGAGGAAGCTCAGGCCAGGATGGAGGGAAACACCCTCCCTGGTGACAACATTACACCCGGGTGCCGTGGAAAAGGCACGATATAGGAAAAAGAGCATAACCAAGACACGGCGGCACAAAAGCAGCTACGCCTAGTCAAAAACGCACATCTGGAAGCAAAACCGTGGCCATGAGCTGAGAAGACTATTCACTATCCTCCCGATTCCAGATGATGATGATTCTGAGTTTACTCCATCCGGTCTACCATATGGAACACAGTTGCAAACTAGGGAGCAAAATATACTTAAATTTGCACTTTGACTCCACCCAAAAAGCAGCTCTGAACAGAGCTTCCATCACAGGAAAGGCTGAAAACAAATAATGACCTGCTTAGGTCACATCTCAGGCAAACAAAATGCTGGGATAATGAAATCGGTCGTAGGAGGGTGCTGACAGGAAGGGGCTGTGTAAAGACTGAGCTCAATTAGCTACGGCTACAATGACTCACGCTTAAGCACGGCTAGCCTTAATTGGTTGTGCTGTTACCATGGTCTTGGTGATTTATCAGCTTGAATCCTCTATGAATCTCCTTTTTTGAATCACGTGTGTTGAATTCTGAATGATTCATACCTCTGCCTTGTCTCTTTTAAAGGGCTGCTAATGGATTAATACAATGTACAATTCCAAGAAACAGAAAAAAAAACTAAGGCTACGTTCACACTGCCAGCCACATCGTTCAATTCCGATTTTTTGCTCAGATCGGATTTGTGCATCTTGACGGTTCACATTCATAAGTACAAGTGACCTGTATCTTACTGTAATGTGAACGCATCGGTCCTCCGAAACGTCACGCATGCGCACATTGATACGTTTTTACACGGGTAAAAAGCTGGTCGTAAAATTGGCACGTTGTGCGGCCATGGCCCCTGCGCTGATTCGAGTCTTTTGGCTCTTTAAACTTTGACTTCAGTGTCTTTATTTTTCTTTGGCATTGTAGCCACGTTCGTGTCCGCGCTGTGCCATTTCTTTGGCAATTATTTCAAATAATACTCTATTACGATAGGTTCCTTCCAGTTTAGCTTGAACAGATTGCTTTCCCCAAATATCAATTAA